CAGCGGAGGAATCAACGGTGGTAGTAACCGTAATGCTGTTCCCGGACCAGCTCCAAACAGTGTTGCTTACAATGCTCTTCAAGCTTGGAAATCCGCCATTACAGAGGATCCTTCAGGTGTTCTTAAGACATGGGTTGGTTCAGATGTTTGTTCTTACAAAGGGGTTTTCTGTTCTGGTCAATCTATAACTTCTATAGATCTTAACCATGCAAATCTCAAAGGCACCATTGTTAAAGACCTCGCTTACCTCACAGACCTCACTATACTTCATCTCAACAGTAACAGATTCTATGGCCAAATCCCAGATTCTTTCAAATCTTTAGATTCTCTTCAAGAGCTTGATCTAAGCAACAATAGATTATCTGGTCCTTTTCCTTTAGTCACAATCTATGTCCCTAATCTTGTTTACCTCGATCTCCGGTTTAATAGCTTCTCAGGATTCCTCCCTGAAGCTCTCTTCAACAAGCGATTAGACGCGATTCTCCTCAATAATAACCAATTCGAAGGTGAAATCCCTCAGAATCTCGGAAACTCACCGGCTTCGGTGATTAATCTCGCTAATAACCGATTTTCCGGCGAAATTCCGACGAGTTTTGGCCTTAGTGGTTCGAGAGTGAGAGAGGTTTTGCTTTTGAATAACCAGTTAACCGGTTGTATACCGGAATCTGTTGGATTGTTCTCTGAGATTGAAGTCTTTGATGTTAGCTACAATTCTTTGATGGGTCATGTCCCTGATACGATTTCTTGCTTGTCTGCGATTGAAGTTTTGAATCTTGCACACAACAAATTCTCCGGCGAGGTTCCTGATTTGGTTTGTTCGTTGAGTAATCTGATCAATCTCACTGTTTCTTTCAATTTCTTCTCTGGGATTAGCTCGGGATGTTCCAGGATTAGTTTCGGGTTTGATTTCGCTGGAAACTGTATTCCCGGGAGGAATTCGCAGCGGCCGCAACCGGATTGTTCCGGTTATTCCGGCGGTGCGATGAGCTGCTTCAGGATGCCGACACAGCCTCTGGCTTGCGCTGCAATAAGCGTGGGACTTAGACAAGGTGATAATCATTACACTTCATCTCCATGAAAGTTTGGAAAGTTCGAAGCTTTTTTTTCTTTTAACGGTTGATTATGCTTAAAGATCTATCCTTTTGTGACTTGCGGAATCAAAAATCTGAATTAGTTAATTAGTAAGTAACTAATTTGATTTTGAAGTCATCATCTTCTGTGTAATCAGATCATGCTTATATGTACTTTTGAACTAGAAGAGTTTTTTGTAAGAATATGTTGCATTGCCACTGTAATTAAAGCAACTATTGGCTTGGTTAATTAGTGTATTATGTATCAAGTTTAATCATAAGATTCATTAGTATCTCTTGTATTGATGATACAACAAATCAAATTATAAATCGACGATTAGTTTAGTCATACATAAGTTGTTGTAATAACTCAATACATAAATCAGAAATGAGCGATCAAGGAATGTAGTACATCGGATTTGGGACTTTGAAAGACCGATCAGCTACGGCAAAGCCTAGAAGATCGCTCCATTGATCGCCGGTATTGCCGTGGATTCTGAATCCTGCAACGATCAATTTAGACCGCTGCTCTGATTTGTAATTTGTAGCGGATTTCCCTTGATCTTCTGGACCCCTGCAACAGACCAACAAGCTTCAGGTTACCTTTATAATACCGAGAGGCAACACTAACAAGATATAATTTTGGTATAGCTTTTTACCTCAAGAGGAGTCGTTCCCAATCCGAATAACCAGCGTCTCGGAGATTTGTTTCCGTGACACTCCTTTGGTCCTCGTCCCGACCGGTTAGCAGAACGATAGTGAAACCAAGTTTCTTAAGAGCAATGTACAGTCTCAAGCTCGCATCAAAAGCTGGAGCTGTACTTTGTACCACCCATTCATTGAAGCTATTCGAGTCAAACGGTTCAGACCTAAAATCCACCATACAAAAACCAATCGAACCAATCGGTACGGTAGATAAAACCAATGCAATTACAATAGAATCTTAAACCTAGAACCGGATCTTGAATCCACAAATCCGGTACAATTACAGTCATTACTACATTAGATTCCGGTTTGATATAAGGTCAACGACATAGAAGTCAACAATCATCAGGACCGTTCATTTAAATCCAACGGCTAATAATAGAGAGAACATACCCGTAACCATGAGCCTTGTAGTAGTCGATATTCGTGAGGAGCGTCTCGTCGATATCGAAGATCCACACATCCTTACCGTCCCCGGAAATCTGAACCGATTTAGCGAATGCGATGGCATAATCGGCGATCACACCGTAATCGGATCCGTACTGATCTCCGTTGAGATAATCGGCGACGGAATCAACGCACATCGACGGAATCACATTCCAGGTTCCGGCGTTATTGGTCTCGGCGGCCAATCTCCAGCTCTCGCAGTAGGTTTTTGCGGCGGAGTTAGATCCGTCGCTTCCCGGGAGTTTGATGACGGAGATGCGAGCAGAGATGGCGGGAATTATTAGGAGGACGAAGAAGGAGATCGCAAGGCTTCGAGGAGACGCCATTGGAGAGATTTTAGAGAGAGAAAGGAGTTTTCTCCGAATTCTTTGGTCGGATCGGATCCCGGTTTGGCTAAATCAGCTCTTGACGATGTATTATTGGTCGGATCGGATCCCGGTTTTAATCCGGTTGAATGAAATTCACGTATTTTTTTTTATCAAAAAAAGAAGATGAAGTAATCTTCCGTGTAATCCAATTATACAAACCTGTTAATCATTTTATTTTGTGATGATAAACTTTTGGGGAAATTCGGAAATTAGTCCACATTGGAATATTTTTTGTCACAATATATTTTTGTCACTTTTAACGTACAATACCCTTAAGTAAAATATAAAATATTTAAAATAAATTGTTTTTAATATTTTAAAAAATAAAAAAATTAAGAAAACAACATTAATAGTCGTTCTGTATATCGAAATAATTTTTTAACTTTAAAACAAGGGTTAAAAATGGGTATATACTTTTCGTCTACGGCTTCTAGAATTTACATTCTACGGCTTTTTGACAAAAAAAAAGACATTCTACGGCTACTTTCTACCGACGGGTGGAAGTATTTAAGTTCTACTAGATTGTATATCTTCTATACTATGGTAGAATATGGTAGAATATGACATCCACATATTGCACTCTACTCAATTTAGAACACAAATTCTACCACTCCTTATGACTTCTACCATAGGCAGAAGATAATTTCTACCACTATGTCTATCATCTACGAATCCATTTTCTTAAAATTCAGTTATAATTAATGTTCCATTTGTCTCAGTGTTTGATTATGTAAAAAATGCTGATCATAAGCGACCTAAGTTTAGGTATAATCCAGTTTTACACCTCTCTGTCTACACATGGAGTTTGGCGGTATCAAGCTGTCTACACATGATGCTATGTATCAATTTCCCCGAGTATTGCAGATTATTTTCATGGAGAGCAAAAATATGAGAGAAGACCGGATCTGGCTTGACTTGTTTGTATTCATTTGGAAATGAGTTCTCCATTGCAGCTGTTATTGATCTTCTTAACTTCGGGTTCTTCTCCTTCTCTAAAAAGTCTTGGAGGCAACAATGAATCCATACCTAAAGATATCAGAACAACAAAATCAGCTCTTGATCACACACGCATTAAAAAGTATCAACAAAATCAACATTCTTTTTTTGGTCGAAACAAAAATCAACATCCATTTAAACAAAAAAGCTCTTCAACATACGCATCAAAAAATGAAAACCATGTAAACAAAGAGACTGAAATTAATAAACAACAAAGAACATATCAAAAAATTGAATTGACTATGCTATAGATTATGAGAAACCATGTAAACAAAGAGACTGAAATCAAAGAACCAAAACCAAAACTCATTATCGAACATGTAAAATCGAAAAACAATAACACCAAACCACCAAATCATGCAAAAACACTAGAAAAAAATAGACTTGAGAGATGAGAGGAACTTGATTTATTATACAAAAGGAAGTACAAACATGCAATGAAAGATGACAGAAATTTACCTGAGGAATCGATTGCTTCTTTAGTTGGTCGGTGAAGAGTAATCGACGATAGGAGAAGAGATTAGGCTGTAATAGCTGATGGAGAATACACCAGCAAGGATAAATCGCTGATGGAGACTATTTCGGAGAGGAGAAATCGCCGGTGGAGAAGGCGGACAAAGAGATAAGACGATAGGAGAAGAGATTAGCAACGGTGAGAATTAGGGTTGGATAAATAGGCGATGGAGAAGACCGGCGAGGAGAAATCGCCGGTGGAGAAGTCAGAGGAAGAGAGAAGACGATAGGAGAAGAGATTAGGAACTGTGAGGATTAGGGTTTGATAAATAGGCGATAGAGAACACCGGCAAGGAGAAATCGCCGGTGGAGACTACTCCGGTGAGGAGAAATCGCCGGTGAGACTATTTTGGCGAGGAGAGAAATCACCGGTGGAGAGGGAGAGGAAGAGAGAAGACGGAGTTAACGAGGGTGAGTAATTTCCGATATCGA